GGTTGTGGGGGGATGACCCCCGCCACCCGGGGGCCCCTTTTTTGCTTTTTTTTTTTTTTTTTTTTTTTTTTTTTAAGTATTTACTTATTTTGAGGAGTTCTACAGGCAAGGTAGGGCTGGAGCTCGTGACCAGAGATCAAGGGTCACAAGCTTTACCTTTTGAGCCAATCAGGCATCCCAATTTTCCAGCTTTTGACAGGAGACAGGAGTACAAATTCTTCCCTGTTAGGAGAAAAACAACAGCAAACACGGTGATAAACGGCAACTGAAACTGCATTAGTTAGCGATTATAGGGTTTGGTGGGGGAATTCTCCATTTGGAGAAAACAAGTCTGGTTTAAAGATACCAGGAGACACTCCCCTCTATCCAATTGCTGTCTAGTTAGAATTCGGACCCCTGCATTGTCAAATATTTTGATCTTTAAGAGGAACCAGAAATCTGAATACGTGGACTATTTCCACTTTAAAAAAATAGCTGAAAATGCAAGCCAAACAAGTCACAGGGTAGGTGTGGTGCCATACCAGTAGTTCGTTATCTTTGGTCTAATTTATAAGCTGTTTAGAACAGGGACTTGCTTTGTTCATTACTGTTCTCTATGCCTGCAACAGGTCCCATCTCATATTTGGTAGTCAATAAATGTGTTGAATAAAAGAAAGAAGAAATGGATACTGTCCTTAAAAAGGGGACCTGATGTCCATCTTTAATCTTTTCTCCCCTCCCAACTCTGTAATAATTGCATTAAGGAGCAGGTGGTAGTGATTGCCTAAATTGTTTCTAGAGAGACAAAGATGATACTATTGAGCCCCTATCATTATTTTTAAGATTTTATTTATTTATTTGACAGAGATCACAAGTAGGCAGAGAGGCAGGCAGAGAGAGGGGGAAGCAGGCTCCCCACCGAGCAGAGAGCCCGACACGGGGCTCGATCTCAGGACCCTGGGACCACAACCTGAGCCGAAGGCAGAGGCTTTAACCCACTGAGCCACCCAGGCGTCCTGCCCCTATCATATTTTATACATAAAAGTACATTATTTCTCCTAATGCTTCTACAATTCTACTTAGGGATTTCCTGTCCCCTCTTTATATGTGGAAACGAGCTGAGAGAGGGGAGAACACTTGCCTGCGACCATACAGCCAGTAGATGAAAAGCCAGAGGCCTCTAATGTCAGCGTAAGTCTACTGATCTACTGTTGGAGCAAACCCATTCATTTCTGGTGGGTATTTTAGCTGCCTGTGTGAGAATTGGAGCGTATTGGAAAATGAAGTGTGTTTTCCAAAGGCGTGAGCTATCTAAAGCCATCTTAAATTCTGTGATTATATTAGTCCTGATTTGGAGATGGTAGTATGTTCTTCCTAATGATTAATGAAGGGGAAAAGGAAAAGGGTGCTAATACTTATTTTGAACTATATGCCCGACCTTTTAATACTCATTAACTAGTCTTTGTTTTTGTTTTTAAGATTTTATTTATTTATTTGACAGAGATCACAAGTAGGTGGAGAGGCAGGCAGAGAGGAGGAAGCAGGCTTCCTGCCAAGTAGAGAGCCTGATGTGGGGCTCGATCCCAGGATCCCGGGATCATGACCCAAGCCGAAAGCAGAGGCTTTAACCCACTGAGCCACTCAGGCGCCCCCATTAACTAATCTTTGTAATGATCCTGTGAAATAGGCTTATCCTCATTTTGCAGGCAAGGAACCTATAACTCAGATTGCTTAAGACCCTGGTCACTCAGCTACTAAATGGCCAAGCAGGAGACTTTATGAAGTTAGTCTACTCCAAAAACTTGCTATTCTACTTCATGCTGAGATGTTTTCATACTTGCTTGTTATCCAGTTTTAAAAGATTTTAAATTATAATATGGTCAGCATATAGTATTGTAGTGTCAGGTGCACAATTTAGTGATTCAACAGTTCTATATATTTCTTGGTGATCACCACAATAAAAACATTCTTCATCCGCATCACTTATTTCACCTTTCCCCCCACCCACGTCCTCTCTGGTGACCGTCAGTTTGTTCTCTATAGTTGAGAGTCTGGCCTGTATCTTTTTTGTTTGTTTGTTTGTTTGTTTGTTTTGCTTGTTTCTTAAATGCAACATGAGTGAAATCCTGTATTTGTCTTTCCTCTGACTGACTTATTTCACTGAGCATTGTACCCCCTGGCTCCATCCATGTTGTTGCAAATGCCAAGATTTCATTCTTTTTAAAGATTTTATTTATTTATTTGACAGAGAGAGAGATCACAAGTAGGCAGAGAGGAAGGCAGAGAGAGAGAGGGAAGCAGGCTCCTTGCCGAGCAGAGCGCCTGATGCGGGGCTCCATCCCAGGACCCTGAGATCATGATTTGCGACCATGTCCTGAGGCTTAACCCACTGAGCCACCTAGGAGCCCCAGGATTTCATTTTTTTTTAATGGCTGAGTAGCTTGTTACCCAATTCTTAATTATCCTGTGACCATCATTTATTTATATGGGTTCACTAGAAATATTTTATGCTTTGAATTCAAATCAAGATCTGGACTGCATGACTGATGTATAAAACACTCTAATTGTATGGTTGTTATTTTAGAGGGTTAGAAAGCTACGAGATGGCTTTTGTACTAAACAATTTATAGCTATGGACTTGCCAGAGGAGAGCCAGTGGGATGAAACCACCTGCCAGCTGGCTGTTTGCCAGCATCCACAATGCTGGGCCACGATCCGCCGGATTGAGAGGGGCCACCCTCGAATCCTGGGCCCCCCACGCAAAACAGCTCTGAATGATGAAGGTGAATTAGTCAGCCCCACTCCTCCCTTACAAGATTCTTGAACTCTTTGTGTTTGGCTTCCTTTTGACAGATTGTGTGTTTTCTTCTGGTCTGTTTTCTTAGACAAACTTCCAGTGCTCACCACTGTAAACATGGCAGATTCCTGCCTCTGGGCCAAGAGACATGCTCATCATCATTTATCAGGATTTACCTTCACCAGACCACCTGCTCTACTATGTCCAGGTGCTAAGTTTGACTCCAAACTCCAAGGCAGGTAAATTAATCATGGAATCTTGTTTTTTGAGCCTCCTATCTCAAAATTCTGGGTTGACTTCCTTTACCTATGTAGTAGACTTTGAGAGAGCTGTATTTAAAAACAGTGGTTCAGTTAGAGCAAAAGGAAAGCATTAGTTGTGTTGTAGGAGTTGTTAGAATAAGGGTGTATTAGTTTGCTAGGGTCACTGTAATAAAGTACCCTCAACTGTATGGCTTAAACAACACAAATTTATTTTTTCAATCTAGGGGCTGAAAGTTCAAGATTAGAGTGCTGATAGAGTTGTTTTCTTCTGAATCCTCTCTCCTTGGCTTGTAGGTGGCCATTTTCTCCCTGTGTCTTAACATGGACTATCATCTGTGTGTCTTTGTCCTAATTTCCTCTTTTACCTTTTTTTTTTTTAAGATTTTATTCACTTATTTGAGAGAGGGAGAGAGAGAAGCATGAGTTGGGGGAAGGGCAGAGGGAGAGGCAGACTCCTTTCTGAGCAGGGAGCCCTGTGGATGTGGGGCTCCTGGGATCATGACCTGAGCCAAAGGCGGATGGATACTTAACCAACTGAGCCACCCAGATACCCTTCTTCTTTTTTTAAAAGATTTTATTCATTTATGTCAGAGAGAGAGAGAGTGCACAAGCAGGGGGAATGGCAGTCAGAGGGAGAAGCAGGCTCCCCATTGAGCCGGGAGCACAATGTGGGACTGCATCCCAGGACCCTGGGATCATGATATGAGCGGAAGGCAGATGCTTAACTGTCTGAACCACCTAACCATCCCATTCCCTTCTTTTTTTTAAATCCTCCTACACTGTTGATGGGAATGCAAGCTAGTGCAGCCACTCTGGAAAACAGCATGGAGGTTCCTCAAAAAGTTGAAAATAGAGCTACAGCAATCATACTACTGGGTATTTACCCTAAAGGCACAAATGTAGTGATCTGAAGGGGCACGTGCACCCGAATGTTTATAGCAGCAATGTCCACAATAGCCAAACTATGGAAAGAACCTAGATGTCCATCAACAGATGAATGGATAAAGAAGATGTGGTATATATATACAATGGGATACTATACAGCCATCAAAAGGAATGAAATCTTGCCATTTGTGACAACGTGGATGGAACTAGAGAGTATTATGCTTAGCGAAATAAGTCAGTCAGAGAAAGACAATTATCATATGATCTCCCTGATATGAGGAAGTTGAGAGGCAACGTGGGGAGTTTGGGGGTAGAAAAGGAATAAATGAAACAAGATGGGATCGGGAGGGAGACTCTTAATCTCACAAAACAAACTGAGGGTTGCTGGGGGGGGGTTGGGAGAGGGTGGTGGGGTTATGGACGTTGGGGAGCGTATGTGCTAGGGTGAGTGCTGTGAAGTGTGTAAACCTGGCGATTCACAGACCTGTACCCCTGGGGCTAATAATACATTATATGTTAATAAAAAAATAAAAAATAAAAAAAATAAAGTTTTTAATTTTAATTCCAATATAGTTAACACACAGTGCAATATTAGTTTCAGGTATATGATATCAGGTATATGATAGAGTGATTCAACCATTCTCTACATTACTCAGTGCTCATCATGACAAGTGTATTCTTAATCCCTTGTAAACAGCCTTGGTGGTTTCCGCTAGGCTAAAGACAGTATGGGAAAGGGTAGGACTACTTTCTGGTTCTCTGGACTTGAACCTTGGGAAGAAGGTGGCTTCTCCCAGTCAGGGCCTATGAAGGCAAAGACCATGACTTCACTCGTGTCATCTCTCATTGAATTCACAAATGTGTCTTGGTGGGGACCACTTTGCTGGGCTCTGTGATAAACAGATTATAGTCTTTACCCCCAAAGGGCTTTCAGCCTTGCTGGGGAGGCCGAGAACCATCCCATGTGATGAGCATGGAGAGAGGGGAGGGCCCCCCCCCCCAGATGTGTGGAAGCACATGGGATGGAGTCCTCACCCAGGCCACTGTCCTGAGCGCCGGTGGCACATGAACCTGTGTACTGAAGTGGGAGCAGTCTGGTGAAGGGGGACTTGCAGGTGGGAGGTGGCTGTGAGGAGAGTTCTAGACTATTGAAAGAGCATATGCCAAGGCCTGGAGGAAAGAGGAAGTTCTTTAGGTGCCAGGAGAAGAGTTCCTTGTGCGTGGAACATAGAGCAGGAACGGGAGAGTGGTCAGAGCTGAGTCTGGGGAGCTGGAGTAAAAAGCACATAAATCAGGCTAAGGAGTTGGATCTTTATCTTATACTTCTTTGCTATATTTATTTATTCCTACACTTAATACGGTTTTTTAAAAATAAATATAATAGCAAGTGATATGAAATGTAAGGAGACAGTTTTTTTTCCATAATGTAAAATTTATCATTTTCATTGATTTTAAGGATACTGTTCTGGGGCATTAAACACATTACAGTGTTGTGCAACCATCCCCACCATCCATTTCCAGAACTTCTTCATCATAAATTATAAATTCTTTATAAACAGGAACTCCATATCCATTGAATAGTGACTCCCCATTCCCTCCTCCCTCCAGCTCCTGTTAATGTCTCTTCTACTTTCTGTCTGTATGAATTTGCCCATTCTATTGTATGACTCCTGTAAGTGGAGTCATACAATAGTTGTCCTTTTGTGTCTAGCTAGCTTATTTCACTTAGCATAATGGCTTCAAGTTTCATCTGTGTTGGAGCATATATCAGAATTAAATTTCTTACTGAGGCTGAAAAATATTCCATTATATGTAAATACTACGTTTGGTTTATTTAACATGCTTTGTACGTCTACAGCGAAGGTACTCAGTCAGCTTGTCTTGGTGGTGACATATCTGTCTGTCGTTGGAGAGAGAGAGGCACAGGCCCTGCATTCAGGTTGATGCAACAAATAGTTGTCAAGTGTTTGCAGTGTGCAGTGTCTGTTTGGGAGCTATTCCAGAACAGACAGGCAGAACTTAAGCAAATGGGGAGATCCTACATTCATTCGGAAAGTATTAAGCCCCAGGTTTTCTGTGGATAAGCAGAAGGCTTTTCCTCTTAGCACTAACTGCCTTCCCCATAGCTTTTTTGTGTCTCAGTGTCATGTTCGGAAACTCATTTTTTAGGCCTCGGAAGGACTTACCTGACAAAGATTTAATCGACCGTCCCGATAGATCTTCTAAAGTAAGTCACAGATTAAAAAAGTTACTTCTTCAGCATTTCCTCTTTACTGATGGGAATAAAACATTTGCCTCTGTTGAACATTCAGGATGACTATAATCTGAATAAGGATAATGGTAACTCTCTAACATCGGGCCCTTAAGTGTATGCTAGTCTCTGTCCTAATGTCTTTACGTGCTATACTGTTTCCGGAAATCCCAGATACCAGTGGGACTGATGTGTGCCTGTTTGGCATAGGTTAAAACTTTTCTGTCTGTATTCCGCATACAGCATGTTCGGCTGCTAAGTAAACCCTGTCATCATATGGGGAAATTAGAATGCTGGAATGTAACACCAAAAGTGGGCCTTCAGGTCATCTACTCTGATGACTGTCAATCTTTCTGTTATGACCTACAGTAAGAAATACATTTTACAACAAAATAGCATAGAACAATCTTTATCCTAATTACGAGTAATGCACTCTGATATTTTCTGTCCTATTCTATTTTGCCTTTTTTTTTTTTTTTTTTTTTTTAAGGACAGAGAGAGTGTGTGCATGTGAGCAGGGGAGGGACAGAGGGAGAGGGAGAAAGAATCCTAAGAAGGCTCCACACTCAGCATGGAGCCCAGTGCGGGGCTTGATCTCATGACCCTGAGATTATGACCTGAGCCAAAATCAAGAGTCAGACACTTAATTAACCATCTGAGCCACCCAGGCGCCCCTCTGTTCTGCGTCTAAGCAACGTAGGCTACAATTCACAAAATTTGATTCCATGACCTATGAATTAGTTGAAGTTGCAACTGAAGGACATTACTGTGGTCTGTCTCATAGGTCTTGCAGTTGACAAAACTGAGGCCTGGATAGGGAATTGATTTGCTAACGCACATAGCTAGTTAGAGGCCGAGCTAAGTTAGAGTTTAGGAAGAAAAACCCTTCCACTTATCTACAATAAAGGGAGATGTACTGTTCTTTGCAATCTTCCGGATGCCTTTTATTTGTTTCAAGAGATACTTCACCTTTCACTGTCACCTGGTGGAGAGTGTAAGGGACGGAGAGAGAGAGGGTAGATGTGTCTGAATGGACGAATGAACAAATCACTCTGCTCTTTGGCCTCTTTAGAATAAAGGGTTAGATTAAATTCATTTTGAGATCATTATTTGAATGCACATGGCTCAAAATTCAAAAAGCATAAAAGGGTTTACAGTTCAAAGAAGTCTCCCCTATTTCCTCCAAGCCAATCAGTTCCTTTTCATAAGGACAACCCTATTTTAAAAAAAAATGTATTTATCTATTGGGGGAGGGGAGTGAGCATGCAAGCACGGGGGAAGGGCAGAGGGAGAGGGGGAGAGAGAAAGAATCTCAAACAGACTTCCCACTGAGCTCAGGAACTCGGAGCCTGAAGCGGGGCTCAATCCCAGAACCCTGAGATCATGACTTGAGCCAAAATCAAGATTCGAGCACTTAACTGACAGCCACTCAAGCGCTCCACAACCCTATTTTTATTAGTTTTTTTTTTTTTCCCCCTTCCCTATATCCTGCCATGGGTAGGGACTAGATAATTTATAAGGTTTCCTTGAGCACCACTGTTCTGAAATCTTAAATGACTGAGCATGAGAAGTGTTGTGACCTTAACTTTCCTGTAGACACCTATAATTGTAGACAGTCTGTTAAAGCAGAAAACTTGCCCTGCCAATTCCCTCCTGTTCCCAAATTGTATTGTGTTATCTGCATGGGATCTAAGTGTTTGGAGTGGAGGAGGCAGAATGAGTAGTGTTCCCTTAGGTAAAGCCCAAGCTCCCCTCTAGGGGATGGGGTGGGAAGTCCCTCAGCACCGCCCTAATGTCACAGGGAGGCAGGGGATACTATTCTCTTAAAATGCTCCCTCTTGCAGAGTACCTCTCGGTGTCTGGTTTCTTGGGGAGCTGTTATGAAGACAATCTGGGGATGAGAAATGTCCTTTTGTCTTTTTCATTAGCGTGATAATTCAGTTCTTAGGCCCATTCTGAATACCATCAGGAGCCGGTACCTTCAAGCCATACATAGGCTTTCCATCTTTCTCTTAGCTTTCAGTGCTGAATTTGAATGAGACACAACTTCCCAGCCCTCAAGATGTTAGAAATATGGTTGTAATCTGGATCCCAGAACAACCACAGAGGCACGTGAGGTGAGTATTGTGTCCAGAATTTGGGGGCCTTCCACCCTTGCCTTCTGCAAGTCCCTCCTGCCCCGTGTGGGTGTCCCATTTGTGATCTCCTTTTTAGCCGCCTCATTGCAAGTAATAGGAGGCCAACTAGAGAAGAAGGTCATGGTCTCTTATATTTGCCTCTTGCTCCACTGGGGTTTGAGTTAATGCAATTTGTGCTTCCTGCAGCGGGGCTTCTCCACATCAAATCCTCCATGGCAGGAAATAGCATGCGAGGTCACGCCTGTGTATTTGTGAGCTCTAAGAAATAGTTGCTTCCTACCAGTCTCTCTGTTTGTCTGTCTGTCTTTCAGATTTTATTTTTTTGAGAGAGAGATTGAGATAGGGAGAGAGAGGGCACAAGCAGTGAGGAGGGACAGAGGCAGAGGGAGAAGCAGACTCTCTCCTGAGCAGGGAGCCCCGTGTGGGACTCAGATCCCAGGACCCCGAGATCATGACCTGAGCTGAGGGCAGACACTTAACATACTGAGCCACCCAGGCGCCCCTTTCAGTTTCTCTTATTAGCCATCCCCAGCTCTTGAAAACATTTTCAGTGAAGCACTTGAATCTTCGGTCTCAGCCCCAAGGCCTAGAACAGTGGCACAAGATGAACGGCGTGTAGAACTTGTGCACAAAGGAGGAGGAGCATTTGGTGAGGGCCCAGAGGCTTGCTCCTACTGAGAACCACTGGAAGAAAGTGTTTGGTTTTTCTTCCGTGAATGCTGAGGCTTTTGGATTCTTGTTAAGTGACTATGTAGAAATGATGTGATTTAAGAATTTCTTCTTATTTTATTTATTTATAAGATTTTATTTATTCATTCATGAGCGACAGAGATAGAGAGAGAGAGAGAGGCAGAAGCAGAGGGAGAAGCAGGCTCCCCAAGGGGCAGGGAGCCTGATGCGGGACTTGATCCCAGGAGCCTGGGATCATGACTTGAGCTGAAGGCAGACACTTAGCTATCTGAGCCACCCAGGCTCCCCCTTATTTTATTTTTTAATGATCCTGTCAGTGCTTCTGCATATATGCATGTGTGTGTATATATATGATATAAACAACAACAACAAAAAACTCCTAAAGGTTTACTTCCTTTCATGTAAATAAAAAAAGCCCAGACTTGGGTGGGTCACAACTAGCACCTCAGCTCCACAAGGTCATCAGAAACCAGAACTCTTTCTGGCTCTCTGGTCATCATCCTTAGCCCGTGGCTTTCATTTTCTATGGTGTCTCATGGGGGCTTTGAGGGTCTAAGTGGACAGCTAGAGCTCCAGCCCTCTTACCGGGAAGATGACAGAGCAAAAAAAAAAACTTGAGCACCTCCTCTGGGCTAAGCTGTGAGAATCTAGTGAAGAACCAGACTTGCTCCCTGTCCTCGAGTGTGTGGGGGGATCCAGGCCTTACAAACATCCCCACATGGAAGTATGTAATTACTAATTTGGATTAATGCTGTGAAAACAAGTTACTGGACTGTAGGAGAGAATGGCAGGGAACCTCATGTAGATGTGAGGTCAGGTCTTGTTTCTCGAAGCTTCTGGGCAGGTGGTTTCTCCAGGCTTCCAAACAGCCATCTTGGAGCACGGAAGAGAGGAAAGACCTCTCCATGATCATCATTCACAAATATCCTCGGTGCTTCCGTGTGAGATGTTGGGGAATAAGTTGTGGTTGTTCTTGTTTCAAGTCCCGCTGAGAAGAAGCCTGTTCTTCCCAGCCAGGACTGGATGGAGAGGAGAATGATCTCTACAATGGTAAGTTCCATGTTTTGGTCAAACGTTTATGAGATTACTCTGTAGAATTTTGTTTTGTTTTTCCTTTCAGGTACCTTCCCCCATCCTTTTTAAATGAATAAAATTTGCAAGAGAAACCCCTTTTAAGGAATTACCGAAGCATTTTCTATCCAGGGTCTCTCTTCCCTACTTCCTCCCTGTAGAAAAGTTAGGAGGAAGCCTTTGGATGTTCACGAGGAATTTTCAACAAATTAAAGACAAATTCCCCGTGAGATAGAAAGAGAGCTTCAGTGGACTAGGGTTTATAGTGGACTTGGGTTTCTCATTCTCCTGCCACCATTTATGGGTAAATGTAACCTTGGGTAAGTCACAGAGCTGGGAGGTGGCTACATCCATGAGAGGAGGGTCTTGGTCCTCTTGTTAGTTGCTGAATCCCCAGTGCTAGCCCTATGCCTGGCACATAGTTGGCCAACAAATATTTGTTCAGTTTGCTCAGTGAATGAATTAATAACCTTTTTGGAAAAAAAAAAAACCCAAAGAATGAATGCCTGTATGATCTAAATTCAACCATGGGGTGGGGAGCCAGAGAGGGAAAATATGGCGGCCTTCTTAGTGCAAAGGACGGGTTGCTGCTGGAGTGGGTCTGGAAACAGGGAGTTTGGCCTGCCAGGGTTATGTCTGGGAAGCTGGGATGTTGATGGGAAGGAGTGGCACTGAAGAGAGTGCTTCATTTCCATTGTTCCTTTCTAGAAAGATGGTTGGCTCTCCAGAAAGCAGAAAACAGAGACACAGTTGGGGCCTCCAGGGATGATTGTGCCTCCCCCCTCACCCATACAATTTCTTGAGCAACAGTCTGTACCTTTCTGGAACCAATTTGACATGTTACCTCAGGATCTACTGAAGGAGTACGTATTGGGAGAGCAAGGGTACCTGCTCTTCTCTGAAGCAGAGAAGCCACTAAGTAGCATGCTCTTTCCGAGGAAGGAGGGGAGAAAAACTCCCCCACTCCCCCGCTTGTTCAGTGAGGTCTTAGACTTACCAATGTACAGTGGTGACAGTAATTACTGCCATTTACCAAGTGCTTATCACATGCCAGGCCCTGCACTATAGAAACACAGTACATCTGTTCTCTTACTTGAACCTCCAGTAGCTGCTATTCCTCTCTTCTTCTCCTTCTTCTTTTTATTTTTTTTTAAAGATATTATTTATTTATTTGACAGAGAGAGAGATCACAAGCAGGCAGAGAAGCAGGCAGAGAGAGAGGGGGAAGCAGGCTCCCTTCTGAGCAGAGAGCCTGATGTGGGGCTCGATCCCAGACCCTGGGATCATGACCTGAGCCAAAGACAGAGGCTTAACCCACTGAGCCACCCAGGCGCCTCTCCTTTTTAAAGTGAGCTCTAGGGGGCATCTGGGTGGCTCAGTGGGTTAAGCCTCTGCCTTCAGCTCAGATCATGATCCCAGGGTCCCGGGATCGAGCCCCACATCGGGCTCTCTGCTCAGCAGAGAACCTGCTTCTTCCTCTCTCTCTCTCTGTCTGCTTCTCTGCCTACTTGTGATTTCTGTCTGTCAAATAAATTTAAAAAAAAAAAAAAAATAAAGTGAGCTCTATGCTCAATGTGGGGCTAGAGCTCACAACTCTGATATCTAGAGTTGCATACTCTGCTGATTGAGCCAGCTAGGCGCCCCCACGCTCTTCTTTTTTAAGTGAGTTTTGGATAAGTGGGAGGCAGGAGGGAAATGTGGCTTGGGGGGTGCCTGGGTGGTGCAGTCAGTTAAGCATCTACCTTGGACTCAGGTCTTGATCCCAGAGTCCTGGGATCAAGCCCCGCATCGGGCTCCCTGCACAGCGGGGAGCTTGCTTCTCCCTCTCCCTTCTGCCCCTCCTCCTGCTTGTGCTCTCTTTCTCCCTCTCTGTCAAATAAATAAATAAAATCTTTAAAAAAAAAAAAAGAGGAAATGTGGCTTGGAGTGAGATAGCCTTTGGACTTCGCATTGAAGCTTCCTGGTTTTGTGCATTTTGGTAATCTAGCATCTTTAATGCTTTAATGCACTGTTCGCAAAATGGGGATAAGAACACCTGTCCTTGGCAAGTTGAAAGGTGTTACCCAATGAGCACCTGTTGGCATGGCCTTTTCAGGCCCAGAGTGGAAATTTATTCAAATTTGGAGCCCATTTCATCCCTTTTTCCTTAGCCACGCTCTCCAGGAGGAACTGTTGCTGACTGGCTGTCTCTGTCCCCTTCAGCCTCTTGCCTAATGAGGGGAAGACCATGCCTTCTCTGGAGATGAGGACACAGTTGGCCATGATGAAGAAGAAAGCTCCCCTGGAAAAGAGTCGACCCGACAATGCCATTTCTGCTAAGATGTTCTTAACCGTACACCGCCTCACGCTGCAGGTGAGAGCTAGGGAGCCTCAGAGAAAGGTCTAGATGATACTCCAAACTCAATTCTCTTTGAGGCTGGAGGGTTTAACCCTTTCTTCTTTCTCTCTACCCTTCCATGCTGGACCCACGCCCCACGGAAGGGCTGGGCTATATGTAGGTGAAAGCAAACATGCGGGGAGATGTTTGAGGAACGTTCTCTTTCTCCTGCACTTTGTTCCCCGCTCCGTTTCCTCTCTCCAGAGCCCCTGCTATAAGGCTGTGTGCACCTGGTTCTCAGACACTGCTGGTTGGCTACGTGGGTACCTGCATTTGAGGGATTTGTTTTGGGAAAAGGAAATACCCTTAGTAGAGCTTTTCTTCTTCTTCTTTTTCTTTTTTTCCCCTTCCAGAGACCAGCATTGAGATATCCTAAACATTCAAAGAAATTATATCACAACCTGAACACAGAAGGTAGGTCTTCTGGTGCTGCCAGGTCCTCAGCTACTGTCCTGTCAGCCTGCAGTTCTCATACTTGGTGTGGGTCTCGGTTTGTTATGTCTGTGGCCAGAGTCATACAGGCTCCCGTGCAGGACTCGGGAAACCACGGGTTCAGGAGGCAGCCCCCCTTCCCCACCACAGATGGCTTGGTTCTGTCAGAGAGGGTGTCACCACATGGAGCAGGGCCCAGCAAGCAGCCCCGGGGAAGGTGGGTGCTGTCAGGGAGAAGAGGACCGAGCCGGTGCTCTGGTCACCAGGTCACAAGAAGCAGCAGCAGTGGCAGCAGAAGCAGCCACAGAGGAAGGTGAAAACCCAGCTGAAGAGTCAGGTAGAAAGGCCATGAGGGAGGCTGGAGGTCCGGCTGGGAAGGGGTCAGGGGGCGCAGCCTGAATGGGAAGGGGTGGATGAGGCGCGAGTCTCCTGGTTCTCTGCCTGGTTCTAGATCCAGAGTTCCTGTCTGCTTGCAGACACTAACTTCCTTCTTTTAGACTCTTTTTGAAATGTTTTCTTCACTTCTGAATATCCTAATTCGGTTCCTTCTCATGTGGGTTTCAGGAGGCTAAAAAGAAATCCAAGAGTGATCTGGGGAGTCAGGACATTTTGCATAAACATTCTGGTGCCGTGGTGTATGGCCCACGCTATGGTAAGGAGAATACGGGCTTGGGAGGGACGGGATCTCAGGATGTAGCTGAGGGCAGGAAAAGCCGGACACATCTGTCATTTTGGGACCTGCCTTCATCAGGCATTCAGAATTCTTCTCGGAATGTTCTGGCTTGCCTGGGCTACCATGCATCATCCTTCCATCAAACATTTACTAAGGAAGCAAGCTGGGCCAGATGTCTGCTTCATGTGGGTATTCGAGAGATGACCGTGAGCATGAGTCAGAGTCATTTTTCCTCAGGTCTTACTTTAGGAAAGGCAGAGTGGTTTGAGAATGAAGAGCAAACAATGAGGCAGGAAAGAGTCCAGCCCCCCCACCCCCACCCCAGCCACAAGTTAGTCCCTGGGGGCTCGGGTTGAGATCAGCACAGTATCTAGATCCCTTCTGGAGGCAGGAGGCTAATTCTTGACAGGCAATTCTTTTCCTCGGGTGTTCATGCTGAAGACCAGAATAGGTAGCTCCCCTTTTTGGAATCTTTATCATGTGTCTGAGCTGAAGAATATACTTATTCTTTTTCTTTTTAATTTTTTAAATTTTTAAATTAACATATAATGTATTATTAGCACCAGCAGTACAGGTCTGTGAATCATCAGGCTTACACACTTCACAGCACTCACCATAGCACATGCCCTCCCCAATGTCCATCACCCAGCCACCCTCTCCCTACCCCCTTCCCCCCAGCAACCCTCAGTTTGTTTTGTGAGATTAAGAGTCTCTTATGGTTTGTCTCCCTCCCGATCCCATCTTGTTTCATTTATTCCTTTCCTACCTCCCAACCCCCCATGTTGCCTCTCAACTTCCTCATATCGGAGAGATCATATGATAATTGTCTTTCTCTGATTGACTTATTTCACTCAGCATAATACCCTCTAGTTCCATCCATGTCAGATATACTTTTTCTGGTCCCTCTGATGTTGCTCAGGTTTTGTTTTGTGTGTGTGTGTTTAAGATTTTATTTATTTGTCAGAGAGTGAGAGCTCGGGCAAGCAGGGGGAGCAGCAGGCAGAGGGAGAAGCAGGCTTCTCAGTGAGCAAGAAACCCAATGTTGGACTCAATCCCAGGACCCTGGAATCATGACATGAGCCAAAGGCAGACATTAACTGACTTGAGCCCCCCTAGGTGTCCATGATGTTGCTCAGTTTGAGTGCAGAAAAAAAAAGAAAGGGGGGGAAAGGATCCCTGAAACCTTAGGAGCTTCTTTGGCTCTACTCAGAGTGGACCTTGCTTACTGCTTCCTCATCAGATCTTATTGATTTATTTGAGAGTAAGAGAGAGAACACAAGAGATCCCAGGACCCCGGATCATGACCTTAGTCAAAGACAGACTCTTAACTGCCTGAGTCACCCAGGCGCCCCGGGAAGATGTTCATTTAGAGAAAGGGAATTGAGAAAGGAGAGGATGAATGCATTTAGGGACTAGTTGGGGAAACAGCCAATGCAGAAGAATCAGAGAACCAGAGCTTTTGGAAGGAAGGGGTTTCATTTTCAGAGGTCAGTATGGGGACATTTGGGTTGGTTCCAGAAGGTAAGAGAAGTCTTCATTAACTGAAAACGTAGGGTTAGAGTTTCTTTTGGTTCCCTGATGTACAGATATCTGCCCCTTCAGTTTCTTGGAAAAATCCTAAGTCTCTCTTTTTTTTTTTTTCCCTAAGTGTTTTAACATACACTTGACCTTAATCTCTAATTCTGTGATACATGTGTTCACAGTCTCAGGTGAACAGAGTCACACAGAGAACTCAGAGGCCCAACTGCCTTTCACCTCCTCTAACCTGTCTCGTCCTGGATGTGGAGTCACTTGCAGGCTAGGGCTCAACTAGAAGCCCAGCGGTGGGATATGAAGTACCAGTAAGAAGAGAACTGAGTTGACTTTGTGCTCACTAGGTCACAGAACTCTACGAAGCCAAGAAAGTGACAAAAAGCAGCCACAGCAGACAAAGTCAGAAGGACCCACCTTGAGAAAGGTAAGAGCACTGGAGCTATTCCGAATGGTTTCAGTTCCCTGTTACTGTATAGCACACCACCTCAAAGCTGACACCACTGTAGCGGGTTGTTCTTCAGATTCTGAAGGGTGAGTGGCCAGATTTTCTAGTGTTGCTTGATGTCACTCACGCAGCTGCCTTCAGGTGGCTGCTGGGGGTGGGGGGCTGTTAGCCAAATTGTCTGAGTTCTCTTTCATGAGGTCTCTTCATTGTGCCTCACTTGGGGTTCTTGACAGTGAGGTAATCTCATGGAAGCACTTCCTTGAGAGAGAGGGCTGGAACTGAAACAATGTCATTTCTGCCACATTATATTGGTTAAAAAATCCCAAGTCCAGCCCAGACTCAAGAGGAGAGAAAACAGACTCCATCTCTTGGTGGGAGGAGAAGCATGTGCATTCAGGACTGAGAAGAATTGTTGATGGCCACATCTGGAGGCCATCTACCTTCAGTTGACAGCTGGTAATGGGGGAAAGTGGTGTCTGGCTTTGTCTGGTCAGCCTGGAGGACAAAGAATCTGTGATACAGCCTTCTCTCTTTCATCTCAGGAGGTGGCATTTTGTCCTGTCATAGATGTTAATTTTTCTAAGAGAAGCATCTCTTAGAAAATCTTTTCTTTCTTAAAGTCTTGATTCAAGTTTCCTTACACTTACTCCATTGGATTTCAGGATTCCACAAAGAGGACCCAGATGGAATACTTGGAGAATCATCTGGATTCCTTCTCCGGTAAAGATGGCAAGTTACTAGGGTGGAGGAACCTCAGTAAGTCACTCAGGCCAGGGAGAGCTGAACCTGTGTTGACAAGGATGGTTCACCACCCTGGACGCCATAGTTCTATTCCCTCAGAAGGGTCCTAAAGACACGCAGCCCTTCCTTCTCTGTCCTCCATTTGTTGTGGTTGGGAGAGGGCTGCAGGTGCAGTTAATGGCTGGGTCTTCTTTTAGATCCCGAGTTATCCAAGACAGAACCCTCTAAGAAGGACATCAGCGCTCAGGAGTTGGTTGTGCTGGAATCCCAAGACAGGAACTCAGAGGACCTCTCAGACGATACATCTAGAAGGTGGAACCCTGAGCTCAAGCTCCTGAGGATTCTTCAGGCCACTGATAATGAGGATGAGGAGGACCAGCTCTCCGAGTCACAGAGTGAAGAGTCTTTCTAGACCTCAGAGGACAACCTTATTCCAGAGAAAGATGCTTGAAATCCTCCGGACAGAGACCTTGGACATACAGACAGAAAGGAGAGGGGACTTCTGCTCCTGGGAGCCTTCATGAGGGCCCCACTGTAGGGACTCTGCTTTCTTCATTCACTTCTCCTTACCTCTAAAATCAGTGAGGGAGAAAAAGCCTCCCCCTTTTTAAACTGAGTTGTTTCTCTTTCATTAGGGGCAGAAAAATTTTAGTGATTAAACACCACTGCTTAAGAAAAAGGCTCATTCTCTTCCTGGGAGGATGGGAGAGATATTTCTGTGGATGTGTTTTCTGGGTCACTTTTATCTCCCCTCTGGAGCTCTGAAAGGTTTCCAGTCACAGGAAGATGAGTTTTGGGACACCTGGCTAGCTCCTTCCATTGGGCATGCAGCTCTGGATCTCAAGGTTGTGAGTTCAAGCCTCACGTTCTGCATAGAGATTACTGGAAAATTAAAAAAAAAAAAAAAAAAAAGGAAAGATGAGTTTATCCTGTGGGAACCCATACTGTGTTCCTAGCTTTTCCTCTCAGTCTCCGGAAATGGCTTCTCTCGAGGTTGGCACCCAATAATCATTATCAAATGGTATTTGTATTAGCCCGAAAGAGTCTGAAGCTCCAGCTTCTATATTACTGAGTCTGTGGGAATGTTTCAGTGATGTTCATAAAGACTCAACATTTCAGAGTCTCAGGAGACCTTGGATTTGGTCTTTGTTTTTTATTTTGTTTTTCTTTTTAGATTTATTTATTTATTTGACATAGAGAGAGATCACACGTAGGCAGAGAGGCAGGCAAAGAGAGAGGGAAGCAGGCTCCCTGCTGAGCAGAGAGCCCGATGTGGGGCTCAATCCAGGACCCTGAGACCATGACTCGAGCCGAAGGCAGAGGCTCAACCCACTGAGCCACCCAGGCGCCCCTGGATTTGGTTTTTCGAAAGATTTTTTTTTTCCCTGTTTCTGTCCTTGAAGTTTTTAATATAGAAAATTTTTTCAAAATTACCTAAAAGTCAAGAGAATAATATAATGGAACTCTCACATACCCAGTAGGTTAGATGCAGGCAATGAAGGCCCTTGACCCGGGCCTGTGGCCCATGAGCTGCGGTCAAGGCAGCTGGAGCCCATTATTCTCACCAGCTCTGGATGTAGGGTCGAGTCTCCTTCCCATAAGTGGGAGCTGGGTGGAAGAAAAGAGCCCTGACCGCTGGTGATATCACTAGCACTTAGCCTCAGCCACCAGTAGTGGCGGGCAGGATGAGATGTGATGACATCTGTCCCTCCTGGGGAGAACACCCCTCTGCCTTGGAGCAGGGGAGGAAGCCCTATGTTCTTGGGCAGCATCGGTCTGGAGTAGTTTCTGTCTCCTTGAAATTGGGGTGGGGACGGGGAGAACATGGCTCTAGGGTCACATAGCATAGACTCAGTTCCTACCGAGCTTTTGTAGATGTTCTTAAACAATTTGCTCTGTGCTCTTAGGGTCATTTTCAGAGGCATAAACATATTTTTAAAAATAATTTTGACTAGTTTCACTGAAGAGCAGTCTGTGAACTTCTCACACTCTTATGACGGAAGTGGAACTCAGGACTGGGCCTGACATCTTTTTTTTTGGTTAATATTTATCTATTCATTTTAGAGGGAGAGCACACAAGCAGGGAGAGGGGCAGAAGGAGAGGGAGAGAATCCCAAGCTGACTCCTGGCTGAGCTTAGAGCATAGGGCTCCATCTCACCACCCTGAGATCATGACCTGAGCCAAAATCAAGGTCGGCTGGTCAACCAACTGAGCCACCCAGGTGCCCCCCAACATGATAGTTTTTTATAAGACAAACTTATCCCTCATCAATTATTTGGTTCTGCTAAGTACAGTTTGTACAAAAGAGGCATATTAAATGTTAACTCTTTTTTTTTCAAATGTTAACTCTTAATGTTGTCTCAAAACACACCAAATTAGAAAGCTGAAACTGCTGTCTACTCGTTCCTCTCTCCCAAGCCAAATCAAAATTCTATGACATCATTTGTGTTACTAGACTGAACTATACTTAGCTGAATCTTGAGAGTGAGAGGAATCCGAGAGGTGTCACATGGGTTTTCTGCAAAGAATTATTTCTCGAATGTGCATTACATTGTAGAATGACTTGTGTAGGTTAACCTAAAAATTACACCTTTTTTCAACTCCTTGGTCTTCTTTCGGACCTGTCCACAAAGGCAACCCCGATTTCCAGTGGTAAGTAGTGAGGCTGAGGAGGGGGCTGGGCTGAGCTTTCATTTGCTTGTTTTTTCTGAAGACTCAGAAGAGAAATTCTATTACCAATCCAACTACACACTTAGTTAAGCAACTCTCAGAAATTGGCACGTTCTTTTCAGTTTTGTTGGTGAGTACAAAGTTACCTTTTGAATCATTTTTTAAAAATTAGTGTTCTTTTTTTATTTTTAAAGATTTTATTTATTTATTTGACAGAGGTCACAAGTAGGCAGAGAGGCAGGCAGGGAGAGAGGGGAAAGCAGGCTCCCTGCTGAGCAGAAAGCCTGATGGAAGGTCCCAGGACTCTGAGATCATGACCCCAGCCAAAGGCAGAAGCTTTAACCCACTGAGCCACCCAGGCACTCCTTAAATCATTTTGAATGAGAAGATGTTTGCTATTTGAACACTGGCCTTTGCTTCTGTTTTCAAAGGGAGGAAAACCATTTGTGGGCTGAAACCTGTTTCACCTTTCTTACACCAATCCCTCTAATCGCAAACAGAATTTAGAGCAGTACCATCCGCATGCCACAATACAGTCTTTAAGGCAGTGTATACCCACTATTTCAATTGGCTCTCTGGCCAACTCTATAGACAAATGTGGATTGTTTCCATTCTATAGATTAGAAAACTGAGGCTCAGAATCCAGGGTTGAGGATAACTCATTTGGTAATTGGTGAATTAGGAGGGGAAAAAAAAAAGGCATCCTTAAAGACACTTTACTACCACCTGTTGAAAATTCTCTCAATGAATATATAAATCTACAATGATTACATTATGAGCGGTTCCCCTAGAGTTGGTCCACAACCTTCACCACAGGACCTGGTTAAGTCATTTGCTAGAAATCAAAGGCCAGCAAGGAAAGGGGGCTGGGCTTAGAACCTGGGTCCTTGCTTCTCTCATCCACTGAACTCTGATACCTCTTTGATTCCCTCTCAGTGGAGCCTGGGACAGTGCTCATCAGAAAGGAAAGACGAGACCATGTAGAGAAGAATGGACTGAGGGGAAGGAGAACTCATGAACACTTTGAATTAGCTTCCCAATGTTCTGAGCGAAGAGGAACAGGTAACTGTTGCTAACTGCCATTTCCTCACCACCTGTGCCATGGGCACCAGGAGAAGGAAGGCCCAGCAGCCAGGAGGATCTAGCTAGAATTGCTTGGAGATCCACTTTATACATTTAAGAAGACAAGAGGTCTTAAGACTTAGGATTGTCCTAGGATCCTTATAAAAAGCTCTGGCTTCTTTTCTTTTCTCTCTTTCTTTGTGATTCTTACTAAAGGTAGGCCACTTTGTTTGGATCACCATGTTTTCTGAGCACACTTCCCAATGACACCTGGCTTGGTTTGACCTGTGCGTGAAAGCAGAGTCAAGGAAAGAGTCCTCGGACAGTCTGTGTCCACAGTCTCCTCCCTGTAGGGTCAGCGATTCCTTTGTTTGGTATCAGTCCTGAGATCTGGTATAACAGACTCTGTTCTTCCTTGTTTCTGGGTTACAGTAGCTCCCTTTGATGGGATGGAGTCCGGATTTCAGCCAGGGTAGCAGTGATTCTTAAAAAAATCCATTATTCATGGGGTGCCTGGGTGGTTCAGTGGGTTAAGGCCTCTGCCTTCGGCTCGGGTCATGATCCCAGGGTCCTGGGATCGAACCCCGCGTCGGGCTCTCTTCTCGGCAGGGAGCCTGCTCCCCCCCCCCCCCCCCGCCTCTCTGCTTACTTGTAATCTCTGTCTGTCAAATAAATAAATAAAATATTTTTTAAAAATCCATTATTCAAATGTGCCTAAAGGAATTGTTTGCTAAATTAAAGACAGAAATACCTCTGGCTGTTAGGTAAGAATGATTAGAGGCCCTTGGGAATCCAAGGGAATCTGGGAAAGACTTTTTAAATTGTCTCTTTCAGTTGCCAGAAGGTATGAGATTATTTTGTCCTTCTGTTTATGCATATATTTAACAAACCCTGAATACATATTACATGACAGCTAACCCCTAGTTATCTTGATAGAGAAACTAAAAGTTCTGGGGAGATGAAGAGTCATTCCTGGGAAGATAGCTAGAAATTTTTCTGGATCACTTGGTGAAGTTGTTTGAGACCACTAGGTGGTGATATTACATTGTGAAAATGATACTCTTCCAAGACTGGAGGCGTCTGGTACTTTTCTGAGGCCATGGTCTACACAACCAAAGAGATTTCCTTGTTGAGCACATGGAGAAAACCCCCCACACTTCACCAATGAGATATATGATACAATTTAAATGCTCTGATGAATGAATCAGTCTTTGAACACTTTAACCAACTGAGCCACCCAGGCGTCCCAGTCTTTGAACACTTTAGATTGTCATTGGAAGAACTATTTCAAGGGTGTGATAAATTTCGGAACATTCCCAGAGGCCTAGGATTTGGGAAAACCGGGAGCTATTGATGATCCTGACAGTTATCCTTTGGGCAGAGACTGAGGGAAGCAGCATTTGACGGGTAGAAAAATAAAAAACTATCTGAGGGTTTTATGCTGTTTTGCGTCTCCTAAATTTATCTTGATCAGATTTTGCCTGTTTAAAAATTCAGGGAGGGTGAAGTGCCCGGCTAGCTCAGTTGGTAGAGCATGAGACTCTTAAAAATTCAGGGAGGGTGGGGCACCTGGGTGGCTCGGTGGGTTAAAGCCTCTGCCTTCAGCTCAGGTCATGGTCTCAGGGTCCTGGGATCAAGCCCTGAATCGGGCTCTCTGCTCAGTGGGGAGCCTGCTTCCTCCTCTCTCTCTCTGCCTGCCTCTCTGCCTACTTGTGATCTCTCTCTCTCTCTGTCAAATAAATAAATAGATGTCTTTAAAAAAAAATTCAGGGAGGGTGAAACCAACAAATTCAGATTTTTTTTTTTTTTTTTAAATCTATACTATTTCTAAGGATGGCCTTGTTTTGGAAGGGATCTCCACAGATAATTAAAACTCTCTCTCAGCCTCCGGATCAAACCCAACCCCTTTTGCCTGTCTCACAATCCTTACAAGGTAGGTTTGAGGCCTGGGTGGGTCCTGCTTGTCTCCCCAGTCCCAGTTCTCCCCACTTCTCCCTGGTGCTGGGTGCTCTAGCCATGATTTTTTCCTTTAGGTTATAATGAGTCATGTCCTCTCTTAACTTCAGGCTTAAATTTTTTTTTTTTTTTCTGTACTTTAGTTTCAACCTGTACAATTCGTTTCTC